TGAGGTATACAATCTGATCTCACTGGGTGAAAAAATTATATCTTATAACGGGGTATACCTCACAGTGCTTCAAAAGCGCGCATAGCAAAATTTGTGTAGTCTCTCGTTTTTCCTCTCTTTCATTTTCTTACTCTCTCGTTTTTAACATTACTCTCGTTTCTATTTTAGGTTGCCGATTTTGAAATCCAATATCTCGAAAACTTTTGCAATTTTTAAAAAATCTGTTGCAACCATTTCATAAATAATTGTTCTGAGATTTTATAAAAAAAATTTCATGAATTTTTATATTTTCTAAAAAAAGTTAATATGGGCGAAGTTTTTCAAAATTTTCAATCTAAGGGTTGAGTCCTTATAACCTGTGAAAAATCTATTTAGTTTTGTTTGTTTTTCATCACTGAATAATATAAAACAAAAATTAGGAAAAAAGGACAACTTTGGAGAAAGTTATGGCCTAAAATAGGACGAAATTTACCGATTTTTAAAAATTCATAACCTTGCCAAAAATACATATTGGCTTCTCAAAATTTGCAGGATTGTTTAAGTATTTTTTAACTACAAAAATACAATATTTGAAAAAAATCGGGTGAGAGGGCTGAAAGATATAAGGATGAGAGAGAGAGTTCCCCTCATTGACACTCAAACTCTGCGATGAATTGGCACTCAAACGGTATTAATTATTGGCACTGAAACGGCCTTTTTCTCTGTTTGCTATGCGCTCTCTTTCAACGGGTTTGAACCACTGTGTACCTAGCTTAAATAGGGGGTATCGCATAGGTTTAAAAATAGAAGACTTATCTGGGGCCTATGCAAATTAGATCATTTTTCAGATATGACGTGTCATATTTGTGACTAGAGTCCGACATTAGGTCAATGATGGTCAGTTAGTGGGTTAGATGTCGGATTCTAGTCACAAATACGACACGTCATAACTGAGATATGATCTAATTTGCAGAGGCCCCTGGTCGCAGCAATAACCGTGCTTCGGCTCTTTCCAATGACCAGGGGCACGCCAACACCCAAAAGCCGTCGGACACCCAAAAGCCATCGGTCTGATGGCTTTTGGCATTACAGCGTTTGCTGTACCATACCCAATAATCAACCTTTAAAAAACCGTTCATTAAATAGAGGTATTTTTGTAGGGGCTCTTTTAGTGAGATCAGATTATCCTTTGTTTTGCTATTATTTTTTAATTTATTAAAATTTATTTTATCAACTGGAATATCTTTTCTTTCATATTACGTTTGAATCTCGTTAATACGACACTGGGACCGTATTAGAAGTTACTTAAATTGAGAAAATACGATTCGACTCCCTCTCTGGGGAAAAGAATTCTACGGGGAACGATGGAGGCCTTCCCTCAGGTCTGGAGGCCTTCCCCCGCTATGCTATACTTCACTTTCCTTCCGGGGGAAGGAAAGCCCAAGGAAAAATTCTTGCGGACACAGCGCCACGGAGAACGGCAATGGGAACGAGGAAATTTTTTTAGTCTTCCCCACAGCCCGAATTTTGGTTCCCACAAAAGCGTTCCCCGCCCCATAAGATAGTACCCTAGCTAAAAAGCACATTTCTGCTGCCGCATTCAGCCGACGTGTAAAGAGAGTGAAGTGTGATGAGATGTCGTATTAGCGAGATTTTGACAGTAGTTTAAATGGTTTATTCAATAATACCTATTTATTTTGCCTAGAAATTTTTTAAATTTTTTAAAAATTTTTTCTAAAAATTTTTTTCAGCGTTAAAAAATTTTTTAAAAATAAAAAAAAATCCTCCCAAAAATTTCAAAAATGTCTAACAACAATAACAACAATTTTAAAATTAATATTGCCAATTTTTTGGATTGGTGTGGTAATAGACCTCGTATGCTTGCCCTTGTTGGGTTGCTGTTAATGTGAATTAAATTGAATTTCTTTAAAAAAAATTTTTAGTTGTTCTCTATTTATTCTATTTTTTGGAGAATATGTTGAAGAGAATTTGGGAACAAATAAATTTTTTAGAAGGCAAATACAGAGTGTGAGGAATTTGTTAAATTTTTAGGGGAATGGGTTCGGGTGCTGGTCTAGTTTATGAGTCCAATGAAGGTCGAAGACAGAGCTGCACGAAAATGAAAAATCTCAACGAAACGAAATTCATGAAAAAAATCACGAAAATCATGAAAAACGAAACGAAAATTTTCGTGCAACTCTGGTCGGGGAAGGAGGGCCAAGGGAAAATAATTTTTGCGGAGACAGCGCCACGGAGAACGGGAATAAGGAAAAAAATTTTTTTTCATCAGGTAGTAAGAAAAAAAGATAAAAAGGTGAAGTATAGCATAGCGTAGGAGCATAAGCACTGCAACATAGCTCAGTCGGTAGAGCACTTGCACATGATGTGCGGACATATCGGGATTGGAGTGGCAAAATAATTTCTTGCATGTTTACACTTGTTCTAAAACATAAAAACTTTATTTCTCAATGGGACAATATACTATCCAAGACCCAGTGGCCGTAGGTCCCGAAATCAGTAGTGTAACTGTTCGTACATTGAAATATCCCGATATGTCCGCATGCACTTGCATATTGTGGGCGATAACTCCTAGCAATAACCGCCTGAAGCTTTACCCTCCCTTATAATTTTAAATTTTTAAAGGACCCTACAATAGAAACTGATTTAAACAATCAAAAATCTTCTGATTTAGAACAACAAAATATTTGTTCTTCCATCCCAACAAATAATTCAACATCTACACCCTCTATATAAGATACCCCAACATAAGAGACATTAGAAAACGTCTCTTAAGTAGAAACGTCGCTTATATTGGGGGTATCCTATAAAGAGGGTGTCTTATAATTTGGTTAACCTCTTCGCGGGAGACTAGCCTAAGCGATACCTTCTATTTAAGATACCCTCAGTATAAGGCTTAAATTTCAGTTATAAGCGAATTTCAGCCTGAAAAAAAAATTTTTTTCAATAATTTTATAAATAATTTAATAGAATGATGAGATGGTTAACTACATTACCTGCCCACAATTACATTACTGATCCTGAAGATGAAACTGGTGATAAAAGCATAAATAAAGATTTATGTGCGGCTGCTAAAAATACTTATGTAAATTTTGAAGTTTCTAGGAATTTACCTAAATGTAGGGGTTCCCTAATGTCGTGACCTCAAGTGACGGGTCCTCAAATGTCGGAATGACAAATGTCGGGCACATTATTAACAAGGGGTACTGAAAAGTCATGCTTTCTAATGTCAGGTGTCAGGGTTATTAAGGACGTCCACTGGTGTCGTGTTCCCTAATGTCCGATGATCAAATGTGTTCACTAATATATGGTGGTCAAATGTCCACTAATGTTTTCGAAGGGAGAAGATCGATGACCAAACATTAAGGAACACATTAAATAACCCGACATTTGGGATCAAATGTCGTGCTTTAAAGTAAAGTCCTATAAAGAGGGTGTCTTTAAAGTAAAGTTTCAAATAACGGGTATTTGATGTGCTCCCTTAATGTCTGGATGTCAAATGTCGAATTCTCACATGCCACAATTTCCTTTCCGAATAGAACACCCCTTCATTTTTAACAATTTTTTAGGCTGCAGCTGTCGGTTCCGATCCCTCGTCGCTAAATCAATTAATAAATGATGAGGATGTGTCGAATATTGCCGATAATGAAGGGGATGAATTGGAAGAGGTTACTGAACTGGACAATAATGATTTAGAGACTTCGCAAATTGACGAAGAAAACGAAAAGAATTTTGAAAATGAAACGGAGGAGGGGGAGAAAATTGATAGATCAAAAAAATCTGTAGCTATTTAAAAATTGTTTTTTTGGTTAAATTTGTTGATTTATTTTAAATTAGAACATAAAGGTTGCAAGTATTAAAAATTATTTTCAAGAGTTGACTTAAGTTGAGCAAATGTCGCGATCTCAAATGTCGGTTTGCTAACCGTTATGTTATTAAATGTCGTATTGTCAAACGTCGTGATCTCAAACGTCGTGAATACCAAATGTCGTATTGTCAAACGTCGTGAATACCAAATGTCACGTTGTCAAATGTCGAGTTATTAAATGTCGTGATCTCAAATGTCGCGTTGTCAAACGTCGTGAGTACTAAATGTCGTATTGTCAAATGTCGTAATCTCAAATGTCGGGTTGCCAACTGTTGAGTCATTAAATGACGAGAAAAATAAGTTATAAAATACATGTGTGAAAACGACATAAGACATTTGAGATCACGACATTTGACAACACGACGTTTGATAACGTCGTTCTCTAGCATAAAAAATGAACTCAATTTAAAATAATTAAATTTATTATTTATATTTAAAGAAGTTGAATTGATTATTATCACAAAAAATTTTCTATCCCCAATTCAGTTATCCTCCACATCATCAATTTTCCCCCTCAATGCATGCGGAACTTCTGGGTGCCAAAGCTCAAAAATAAGTGCTATACGTATAGCATTTGCTGGAGCCTACATAATATTAAATATTTAAATTAACTTTCTAATCAATTTACCCCCTCAAAAATTATTTCATGTTCAAAACTTGTGTCAAATATCAACATCTTTCCCTGCTTCCAGCCTCTAAAATTTAGGGGTAATGGACGACTCTAGGGGTAATGGACGACTCTCCGTAGCCAGTTCAATCTCGAGCCATATATTGTGCCATAACTTTTTTAATTCTTAACCGATTTAAGCGATTATTATACCAATCGAAAGCTCTCGATGAGGATTATTTTACCTAAAAGGATTGATTTGATCTGATCACCCTACAAAAGGTTACATATGGGTAAGTCCACAAAATCGTGATTTTTGACCTTTACTCGGCTGTAACTTTTTGTAGGATGATCTGATCACATCAATCCTGCTAGCTAAAATAATCCACACATCAAGAGCTTTCGATTGCTATAATAATTATTCGAATCGGTTAAGAATCAAAAAAGTTATGCACAAAATATGGCTCGAGATTGAAACGGCTATACTGAGACGTCCACTACCGTAAGACTTAGAATTTTTTTAGTTTTTTAAATGCACCTAGTCTCATTTCCTACACGTAGACGAGCGTCAGAGTGTGTAACAAGTCCAAGATGGGCTTCTAAAATATAATTTGTTGGACCGCAATGGGGCCAAGTGGAAGTGCCTGATTTAAGTACAGATAGACGAACCTGTAAAAGATTGCGAATTGAGTATCTAAAAATGTAAAATTTTCCAGAAACAGTCCCCATAAGTCCATCTAAGGTCTCCAAAAATTTCAGAATTTTTGGACCAGAATTTCAGAAATTATGACCAAAAGGGTCGATTAACTACCCAAAAATGACCTATTATCCAAGGTTTATCGACTATAACTCGAGAAATAGTTGATGAAAAATTCTGAAATTTTTGGAGAAGGTAGTTAAGGATGTTAAAAAATTTTGAGAAAATTTTCAAAAATTTAGGTTTCCCCTACGCCTCACTATCGATGCGCGCGCCCAAACTTTCAGGCGCCAAGACTACCCCAACCCTTAAGTTTTCCGGAATGAAAATTTTTTCCGGAAAATTTTTCCGGAAGAATTTTTTCTCATTAAAAATCCCTCACATTATCCCTCGCACAAACTGCATCACTAAAACTTTCCCTCAACATTTGGCACGTTAATGGCATTAAATTATCTGCACATATTTCTTCGCTAATTGAATTGCCTTTGTCTTTAATTGTTAATAACCAATGACCATCATTTTCTTCATTTATTAAATTATTTGAATAATTATCTTTTTCAAATAAATGTTGGTGATTATGCCACATTTGTTGGGCTTCTTCTAAAAATTGATTTTTAATTTTTCTGACTTTTGTGAACATTGACACTTGCGAACAACGACAATTGCGAACAACGACACATACGAACGACTTATTCGAAAAAATTCCGTCAAATGTCCCATATATTATTTGAGAGCTCGCTGAGCTGAGTCTTAAGACGCCAAAATTAAACTTAGGTCTCAATCGTAGGCGGAGTTATGGTCTCATAATGGTCAAAAACAGTAGAGTGGACTCAACTTAACAAGCTCTTTCGAGGGCATTTTTTATTTTTGTAATTAAAAAAAAATTTCTTTCCAACCCTTAACAGTCGTCCAATGCCTTTCTAATTGTCTCAATTGTCTAGAACATTCAGTCTGTTCAATTGTCCACCATGGACGGGCTGTCAATTTAGCCAAATTATGAAATGAACGTTGAAGGGTCTTTAAAAAATATTTTTACTTGCTGCCTAGCAATATAAATACTAGAGGTCGGATCGAAACAAGATCTCGATCGAAAATCTCGGTTATCGAGATCGAGAATTTTCTATCCAACGGTACCATGAACTTGGCTGAACCGGGAGTCCAAAAATCCCCTCTTCTTTTTTGACCATAACTTTTCCGTCAACCAATCCAAAATTTTGATTTTTTTGGTATTTTGTAGCAAATTTAATTCCCTATTCAACGGTACCAAGAACACTAAAAAGTGACCAGCCCTTCTTGAGTTATAGTGGTTGGGACTCAGCTGAATCGTTAGTCAAAAAAGGGGTATCCGAAAATTTCCCCTTCTTTTTTTGACCATAACTTTTTTATCGGTCACTCGAAAATTTTGATATTTTGTCCTCTTATATCAAATTTAATCCTCTATCCATTGGTACCAAGATCACTAAAAACTATTCACCCTTGATAAGTTATAGGGCCGGGACTTGATTGAACCGGTGTTCAATTAAGGGTATAACCCGAAAATTCCCTCTGTTTTTTGACCATAACTTTCTCATCGGCCAACCGAAAATTTTGATATTTGGTCCACTTATAGGGTATTTAATCCTCTATCGAACGGTATCAAGAACACTAAAAAGTGACCATCCCTCGATAAGTTATAAGGGCCGAAACTTAGTTGAATCGTTAGTCAATTAAGGGGTATCCGAAAATCCCTTCCCCTTCCCCCTTCCTTACCGAAGGGAATAGTCCATACTTCACAGCATCGGCATACACTGAATGGGCGTCTTTTAACCTCCCTAGACGGGTTAGGGCATCTCCCAAATGAAAATAAAATTTTTGATCGTTCACAACATTTCCCTCTTTATTATCACGCAAAGCTCTCCTCATTAATTGAACTCCTCTTTCCAAATCGCCTTCATAAACTTTTAGAATATAGCCAAAATAGGCCTGAGCTTGTGAATGGTGAGGGTTAATCTCTAATATCTGTTGAGGGGAAAAATAAATTTTTTTGAAAAATCAGTAGTATCAAACCCTCATTAAAAGATACCACTTAAGTCAGAAGAAATCGTATCTTATAATGGAGTGTATTTTAAATAGAGGGCCCACCCAGTGGATAATCCCATTTTAAAACCGTCCCTTAAATAGGGTGTATTGGGAAGTGGAGGGTATATATTGGGAAGTGAAGTGTATACCACAACGGGATTCAACTTTATAAGATACCCTCAATATTAGAGACACCGCTATGTAAAATGCTTCTTTTTTTTACCCTAGGGGTGTACAAGTGAGGGCTCCCGGACAATGCGTCAGTGGACAATCGGTCAGTGATTATATAAAGAGATAAAAATCCACTGATATCTCTCCAAATCGAATGATCTCCATCTTAATCCACCCAAACAAATTAATATCTCTGTTAATCCTCCCAAACCCGTGATATCGGCCTTAATCCCAATAAATCCCTCAATACTGACCGATTGTTCACTGACGCATTTTCTACTGACGCATTGCCCTCTGACGCATTGTACGGACACGCAAGTGAGGGGGCCATCGAGTAGGGGCTGTCTAATACCCCTATTTAACATATACACTATAAAAGGCTTTCTGGGGTATCTTATATGGAGGGGTTGACTGTATAAACTTTACATTTTTAAAAATATTTGCAGCCTCCTCAGGCCTATTCATTCCAAGCCAAGTAACCCCAAAATCACATTGAGCATCCAAATCCTCTGGGAAACGATCAACCGAAAAATTTGGAAATTTTTTGAAATTTTTTTAAATTTTCTAACCAATGCTCTTTGAACTTGTAATATTTTATGAAGTTGTTGACTTCCCCCACGAAATCTAGCACACTGAACATAAAAGAGGCCAGAAAGCCTAAAAAAATTTTTTCAAAAATTTTCAGAAATTTTCAGAAATTTTCAAAAATTATTCAAAAATTTTCAGAAATTTTCAAAAAATTTTTAAAAAATTTTTCAAAAAAAATTTTCAAAATTTTTCCTCATTTTTACAATTTTTTTTCGGATTTTTGACCCCTTCCCCATTCCCCCACCCCATCGTATCATTATCCCCCTATCGACTTTTGACGATTTTGAGACCATAATTCAGTTTATGATTGAGATCCGGGCTAAATTTTGGTGTCATTCGACTCGGCCCGTCAAACTCTTTCGAATCACATATTACTTGCCGAATTAGAGTGTAGGGACATTTCACGGAATTTTTCCGAAATTTCAAAATTTTTGAAATTTTCAGAAATTTTTAGAAAATTTCCCAGAAATTTCAAAAAATTTTTTCAAAAAAATTTTCACCTAAACAATTCATCTGGAACATCTTCAGAATCCTTATTTTGTAATAAAATCCATTCAAAATTTTCCATTGCTTTGTCCAATAATTTTCGATTGTCTCCATCACTAGCAAATTCTGACATTAATTGATATACTCTTGCCGTTCCAAAAAGGGCTCTGAAAAAAATTTCTTTTTATTTTTCTTTAGCTTAAATTCACCTAGGACTAGCTCTATCAATATTCAACACTTTTTGGTATTTCTCAAGTGAAGAAACAAAATCGTGCTGAAAATTAATTTTTAAATATTAAGTGGGGTCAATTCGGCGCCGCCAACTAAGCAAGCCAACCAAGCGCACTTTGATCGACTATAACTTTTTTATGCTTGATCCGATCAGAATGAAACTTTTATCATTCGAAAGCTCTCGATGAGCGGAATATTTTTTCTAACTGGATGGATCAACTCAGATCACTTATTTAAAAGTTACAACCCAATAATTGCGACTATTTGGTGTTTTTCGCATTTATCGGGCTATAACTTTTTATTGAGTGATCAGACTTGATCTATCCAATTAGAAAAAATATTCCGCTCATCAAGAGCTTTCGAATGATATAAGGTTCATTCTGATCGGATCAAGCATAAAAAAGTTATAGTCGATCAAAGAGCACATGGTTGGAGTCGCTCAATTGACACCACTCACTACTTGCCTGTTCACTAAGAAAATCGGCTTCATCCAATAAATGTCTATGTTTATAATCATTTCTGTTTGTAAGGACAGCTTTTCGAGTGCTATAACTACCTGGCCTTTAAAAAAAATTTTTTTTTTTGAAATTTCAAAAATTTATCACAATTTCCTCTGTGCAACCAATTCTGTAATTTGCTCATTTTCTTCAATATTTTCTTCTTCCCTGTCTTCATCTTCATCCTCATCTTCCTTTCCTTGTTGTTGTTTTTCTTCTTGGATGTATTTATTCTAGGAAAAAGAACAGAAAATCAAATGAGAAAATTTTAAAAGAAAACACCCTCAGGATTGAATGGGTCATTAGGACGCAGGATTTTTAAGGCGCGGGAGCTTATAACTTTATTAATCTTCGATCTAAAAATATAAAATTTTGCAAAAATGATCCTCATATGTTCAACTGAGTTTTCCACAAATTTCAGAATTTTTGGATCAGAATTTCAGAAATTATGACCAAAAATGTCGCTTAACTACCCAAAAATGGCTAATTTTTCGAGGTTTATCGACTATAACTCCAAAAATATTTGATGAAAAATTCTGAAATTTTTGGAGGAGTTGGTCAATAATGTTAAAAAAGTTTGAGAAAATTTTCAAGAATTTAGGCTTAGCCTACGTCTCAGTATTTAAGCGCGCGCCAAAACTCCCAAGCGCCCAAACAACCCCAACTCATCAAACTACCAGTTTATGCCTCTTTTTAAGCAATTCCTTTCTCGGCCTCATTCCTTCCGCCAAACTTTTTGCTGTTTGTAAAGCTCTCCAAGACTTTACTCTTCTCCTATGTACTTGCTTGTGTTGCTCCTTTTCTTCTGAAAGGATTTCTTCTACAACATTGACAGTAACTTCATCCTTGTCTCCTTCCCCCTCATTTTCTTCGTCCTTTTCTTTTTCTTCGTCCTCTTCGCCCTTATCTTCTTCGACCTTTTCTTTAGGTGCTGTACACTTCTAAAAAAACAGACTTGTTTAGAAATCCCCAGTTATAGAGGGACTGAAAAAATCGTACCTTATACTGAGGTGTCTTAAATAGAGGGTATCGCTTAGACAACGGCTCTACTTTGGAATCCCATGAGCTATGTCCTAAATAGGGCTTCAACAGCTAATCCCACCCAATGGCAACCGAATTTAAAAAACGTATATTAAATATGGGTACCCCCCATTTTCTATTTATGTTTATGACCATTTTTTAACTTATAATGAGGTTCGAATCTAATATACCGTATTCTCTTTGCTAGAAGCCCATCTCCAATAGAAGCCCATGTTCTAATAGAAGCCCATGCCCTATTAGAAGCCCATGTTCTAATAGAAGCCCATGCCCTATTAGAAGCCCACTCAAGGAGGGGTAATGAAAAATAGACGCCCATCTCCAATAGAAGCCTATGCTCTAATAGAAGCCCATGCTCTAATAGAAGCCCGCTCAATGAGGGGTATTGAAAAATAAACGCCCAGGGCTTGTATTAGAGACAATACGGTAATCTTTCAAAACAACACTAAAACATACATAAGATATTTTATTAAATAATTGTAAATACAGTTTTCATACAATATTATAATATATTTTT